TATTCTTAGGATTTCATCTTTTCTACTCATTATATGCACTTTCTCGTAAATCGCCGCCATCAGCAACAGTATTTTGCTAAACTTCTGCTATCAGTTAAAGGAAGAAGGCCTTCGTTGCAGAGGTGTTTACTAGAGGAGCATCAACTGAACAGTGCCATACTATTGGACAGGGGAGCAAACCTCTCATATGCATCTTGTTTACAAAACTCAGCATCCATCTTCTCCTTGAACGCGTCTTCCTGAACTTTCCTGGATATTCATTGAATGTCACTCAAATGTAAGCAAATGCTACAAAGCGACTCCACAAATTTCGCAATAGATCTCACTCTCCAAGAGACGCGAAGCGGATTTACGAGAAAGGGCTAATCGTACGCCTCGTCAGTAGTATCCACCGTTACACTAGCAGTCTCCTCTACTCTTCGACGTGGACCGACTGTATGATATTTTTTCCGTTACTGGTTTGGAGAGTCCATTTCCCAAACCTTCAAGCAAAAACTTGTTTGTGTTATGGTTACTTATGGTTCAACATCAGAGCTTTAACAAAACAAGTAAGTAACTGTCAGTCTGTTTACTTTGCACGGATATAAGATAGCTTGGAAACGAAAGTGTGAGCGACTGACAAATCCATATCAAGTTCAAATCTAGCTATGTATCTTTCGTTTCTTCCACCGGACGTATGCAGTCTGTTAGTGTCTTAGCCTTTTCACTTCCTTTAGGGTAATGGAAATTCACAGTAATCATGAATCTCCGAAATAGGATTCATCGCTCGACGGAATATTATGCTCTCAGCCCTTGTTCGTGCCGGTTTGTCTCGTGTTTCTTGAGACGTTCGACAACACGCGGTCTCATCCCGGTCGCTGTTAAGGCGATTAAAATTTCAAATTGCTACATATTGATTTTTCTAAGGAAAAGTAAATCTCAATACGCCCTTGTACCGTAGATGCGACTAGACAATTAAAAAACGATTGATCACAATTAGCGGATTAGATTATCCCCCAATTTATAAAGCGAAATTGATTGGTGAGTCCAATCGCACTTCTCCTCGACTAGTATTGTTTGTTTTATCTGAAGAAATCTCCAAAAGTATCGCTCGCTTCCTTGCCGTCAGATCAATGGCAATCGATTTGCCTGTGGTTGGCTCAAAGTGTTCTTGGTACGACTTTGGACGGGTGAAATAGGTCAGAATAGCGTAGTGCTGAGATAAACGTACACGGCTGTATCAAAAAGAGAGTTGACATAAGGAGTCATGGCACAAGGATGTTGGATAGACTTGTATCAATGTGCGCAGCCCGCGAAGCACAGCACATATGTTTCCTTCCCTTAAGGCATCAGGTATGCATGGGTTCGCATCCCTAGGCAACAGATTTTTATAAATACAATCCCAACTACTCTGTTACTCCACTCTGACAAGATGTTCTGGCCCACAGGATTGCTCATTAATTTGTGAGTCAAAGCTGGCCGAGGTAGATCAGCAGCTTTGTTGTTGGATTCATCATTCTCAAACCTGCCTTTTGGCTTTGGCCACTTGGTTGAGATGAGACCATTTGGTACTTTCGGAATCTCAACTGTTCCTAATTCCATACATCGAGGTTGAGTCTGTTTTTCTTTCATTTTGCATGCCACAAAGGTGACATAAAAAGGCAAAGGATGAAACATGGTAGCACTTTTTGCCAAATGTCACAGTGCAATACTTATTTCATAAGAGGAGACAGACGAATGCTGCGGTTACTTTTCAGTATCAAGTATATCCATTGCTTTGGTCGTTTCATTACTTTGGTTCATGGTCACTATCTTTGCGCGGATTAACTTATCTATTTTCTAGTTACAGTTGAGTCTTTTTTGCTTCACTGACGAAGTCTGTGATGCACAAACTTGTGAACATAGCTAGAAAACAAAAAAGGTATGGTTAAAATCAACATCTAACAGCGAAATACACACATTTGCGAGAATGGTTTCGCGGGAGACTCACCTGGAACCCAAGCTAGACGTTTATGATCTTTCTAAGTAACTGAATGTGCTGCACCAGGCCTTATCGTGTTCCAGTTGGCAAGATATCCGAGATATCACCGCACCGCACTATGCGTAATACACTACTCATAAGGTTACTGAAAATTCTACGATAGCCCACGACCGGCTTTGCATTTCTCTTGGGCTTCAGTAGGTAGGGGCCTTCCCCAAATCTCCGTCCACCTTATGCTACACTTGAACATCTACTTAAAAATATCATAAACGAGAGATTCAGCTGGGTTCCAGGTGAGCCTCCCGCAAAATCAGATTTGTTTGCATCTGAGTGTATTTTGCTGTTTTCGTGCAAGTTCAAATAGAACACACGGTTGACGGAGACTGGAGGACTGCTGCTACCTGATGAGCCCCAAGAAAGGCGAAAACGGTCTTAGATTGTCGAAGAGTTTTCAGCAACATTGCGAGTAGTGTACCACATCAAGTCAGACATATATTTTCAACATTTGATGACCTTCACACACAGACTGATAAGCATGAAAACAGTGGGACAAGGGCTGAAGGGTTTTGCACACAGAAGCAGAAGATGACGACTCCAGGAAGGCTATTCACTAGACCTTTTGTTTTAACTAAGACCCATCATTCGGATATCTATAAATATCCTCCGTGTGCGCAAGTGTAATAAATGATCTTGTGGTACCGGAAGAAACGGTGAAATTGTCTAAACAAAAAATACACGACCGATCCTGTTCGGCCCATATGTGGGGTCCCAATCGGGGCGCTACTCTTAGTGAACTGATTTGAAGTGGTATCAAAAAACAATAGTAAATAGTTTTTTATATGCAAATTTCAATGATTATGTGTACCCTTAATGGACCACCATCGACGCTTGCATTCGTGCCATCGCCTGAGAGTTCTGGAGGCATTTGACAGAAAAGCGACCAGCTGAAAATTTTGCATATACAGGATGACTCACCTGCCCGAAGAATCCATTCTTGAAGTTGCGATTTTGGTAAGATATGGAGCACTCTGCGTTCTTTTGCGAGCTTTAGACTTGCTCATAATTTTCCTTAAGACAATAGGGAATAACATGATTACATCTTTGATAATGGTTTGGTGAACACAAAGGAAAACATTCATCGGAGATGTCAATCCACCAGGCCACTCGTTTCAGACTAGAACTGCTGACGCTAGTTGTCTGTGCACACAATGCACTAGTGCTCGAACAGCTAAACTACCACGGTATGCAAAAGCAATGTGTACAACAAACTGAGACCTGAAACTTCAGATGCATCCAACGTGCATTGGTGGAGTGGTGGCTACACGCTCGCCTGGCATGTCAGATATCCGGGGTTCAAATCCCAGCACGACCATTGGATATGAACTGCTGATGAGCTCTAATAAGAGCGAAGCTTGAGTTTAGTGCTTCCCTTTGCTGTGAACTCACCGGAATAATTACACCAGAACAGGAGAACAACCGTTCAAACGAGGTGGTGTGACTATGAACAAAATACCTATCCCGGAAAACCCCAAAAGTGCAAATTGAGTATAGTTCTACTGATGACCGATAAACCTGACGCTGTATCATCTGGATTTGTGACGCTGGTATTTCTTAGCGCCTGATCTTACGGGGTTTATCGGCATTCTCTGTGATGCACAAACTTGTGAACATAGCTAGAAAACAAAAAAGGTATGGTTAAAATCAACATCTAACAGCGAAATACACACATTTGCGAGAATGGTTTCGCGGGAGACTCACCTGGAACCCAGCTAGACGTCTCGTTTATGATCTTTCTAAGTAACTGAATGTGCTGCACCAGGCCTTATCGTGTTCCAGTTGGCAAGATATCCGAGATATCACCGCACATGTATATGCGTAATACACTACTCATAAGGTTACTGAAAATTCTACGATAGCCCACGACCGGCTTTGCATTTCTCTTGGGCTTCAGTAGGTAGGGGCCTTCCCCAAATCTCCGTCCACCTTATGCTACACTTGAACATCTACTTAAAAATATCATAAACGAGAGATTCAGCTGGGTTCCAGGTGAGCCTCCCGCAAAATCAGATTTGTTTGCATCTGAGTGTATTTTGCTGTTTTCGTGCAAGTTCAAATAGAACACACGGTTGACGGAGACTGGAGGACTGCTGCTACCTGATGAGCCCCAAGAAAGGCGAAAACGGTCTTAGATTGTCGAAGAGTTTTCAGCAACATTGCGAGTAGTGTACCACATCAAGTCAGACATATATTTTCAACATTTGATGACCTTCACACACAGACTGATAAGCATGAAAACAGTGGGACAAGGGCTGAAGGGTTTTGCACACAGAAGCAGAAGATGACGACTCCAGGAAGGCTATTCACTAGACCTTTTGTTTTAACTAAGACCCATCATTCGGATATCTATAAATATCCTCCGTGTGCGCAAGTGTAATAAATGATCTTGTGGTACCGGAAGAAACGGTGAAATTGTCTAAACAAAAAATACACGACCGATCCTGTTCGGCCCATATGTGGGGTCCCAATCGGGGCGCTACTCTTAGTGAACTGATTTGAAGTGGTATCAAAAAACAATAGTAAATAGTTTTTTATATGCAAATTTCAATGATTATGTGTACCCTTAATGGACCACCATCGACGCTTGCATTCGTGCCATCGCCTGAGAGTTCTGGAGGCATTTGACAGAAAAGCGACCAGCTGAAAATTTTGCATATACAGGATGACTCACCTGCCCGAAGAATCCATTCTTGAAGTTGCGATTTTGGTAAGATATGGAGCACTCTGCGTTCTTTTGCGAGCTTTAGACTTGCTCATAATTTTCCTTAAGACAATAGGGAATAACATGATTACATCTTTGATAATGGTTTGGTGAACACAAAGGAAAACATTCATCGGAGATGTCAATCCACCAGGCCACTCGTTTCAGACTAGAACTGCTGACGCTAGTTGTCTGTGCACACAATGCACTAGTGCTCGAACAGCTAAACTACCACGGTATGCAAAAGCAATGTGTACAACAAACTGAGACCTGAAACTTCAGATGCATCCAACGTGCATTGGTGGAGTGGTGGCTACACGCTCGCCTGGCATGTCAGATATCCGGGGTTCAAAATCCCAGCACACCATTGGATATGAACTGCTGATGAGCTCTAATAAGAGCGAAGCTTGAGTTTAGTGCTTCCCTTTGCTGTGAACTCACCGGAATAATTACACCAGAACAGGAGAACAACCGTTCAAACGAGGTGGTGTGACTATGAACAAAATACCTATCCCGGAAAACCCCAAAAGTGCAAATTGAGTATAGTTCTACTGATGACCGATAAACCTGACGCTGTATCATCTGGATTTGTGACGCTGGTATTTCTTAGCGCCTGATCTTACGGGGTTTATCGGCATTCCACTCACGCCCAACTCCAAACATCCCTGTTGGTGTACCAATCATCGCCATTTCATAAGCTTTGTTTCCCAGTATTATACAGCTCTCAGTGGGCGACCTCATTGATACGTGCCTTTATTTTCACTTGCCTTCTAGCCGTGAAAGTATTCCATTAGGATAGATGCTTGAACCACATCATGCCATAACGGAACCAAAGGCATTTGCTTGTGCAGTCGGGAACACGTTTAGTTCACTTGACTCAGTACTGTTCATTTTATTGTCCAGCATATTATACAGATTTATGTCGGAAAATCGACCAGACTTGTAAAAGAGTGTTCGGCGGCTCTTGGGAAGTCGCAATTGTAACAATGTGCTAACGACAAAGCTGCTTGTACGGACTCCCCATTCTAAGCTATTTCAGAGAGGTCAGCATGCCATATGCTGTCGCTCGCAAAACAATTCTCTCAACTTGAATTCAGCCAGGTTTACATACCTTGTGCTTAGAAGTGACCGTTTTCTGAACAGGGAAATGTTCGGAGCTCAGGTAATATAGATGATCACCGGTTTGTTTACTGAGTGGGGCAGTTTGATTGCAAGCGTTTCATCATCAATCGATGTGATATCATCGGTGCGTTGCTAGGGATTAGAGTGGAGCATTGCGGTGCGCTGATGTTGCTACGTTCCAACCCGCTCGCTAACAAGGCATTTTTCGAGAGACGCTATTCTACGGAGGTGTAAAAATTGCCACACGTAACTCGCTGAGGAAGTGCACTGCTCCCATTCATGTCGGAAGATACACCGACAGAGGTCAGAACCCGATATAAAGTCGGTAGAAATTATTTGTGGTTTTACGGGTCTCGAGGTTACACTGCTAGTCAATCGTTGGTCGCAATGAATTTCATCTTTAAATTTGTCGAATACCTTGTCATTCAGATGTTTTCATGAAAAAATATCTTTGTTGTCTCGCAGCTACTACTCTGGCCGGTTTTTTTGAGGGACCAGGATAGATCACGTGGAATTCTGATATTATGGAATAGAGTTCAACCACACGACTTAGGAACTTAAATTATACAGAATTGTGTTAACCAGCTTTATAGCAGACAAACATCTGTCAGTCATTTGTACTTCTCGCCTAACAGAGGTTGGGTTGTGGCTACCAGTCTGCCTTTGGTGTAATGTATGTTCTTGTATTTGACGGTGACAAAATTCGATAATTACTGAAAATCGTTCTCCATATGATGAACGTATGGGTGCTCAAGACAAAGCGGCATTTGCAAACGAATGTTTGCTAGGCAGTTCCCACTTTCACATTGTTACTTATTGCAACATTGGGACGCTGGACTGACCAGTCCCTCTACTCCTTTTGTGTCAGTTTGTCCAGGAACATTTGACAGACTGTTTGCATCCGATGCCGAACTGAACGGAATTTCCATGGATTCAAGCAGGCGACAGGAACTCGCTAATAACCACGGTGATTAATCATACTCACCTGATCGGACAGCGTGAAACAAACTTCAATAAAGATAGGTTTCAGGTAAGGTGAAATTCCGAATGGACATGCTGTGGGATAACTGAGCATTTGTCAGCAAAAATTGCCCAGATACCATTGCACTGAGAGATTTAATGTGTGTTAGTTTCTAGTAAACCAGCCAGCGAACCTGCTTCTTCCCTACTATAGCTAGAGTAGGGTAATATGCGTTGATCTTATGCTTATGCCCTGTCAAGCCAATGAAAGCATTTCAAAATATCGTTCCTCCTTTAAATCGTTGCACTGAATTGGGCCTTTTCTGTGCATTTGTGTATGTTTTCCAATCAGAACAGCCTGACAGGTGGACATAAACCCACTCGGAGTAGTGTTCACCAAATTTAAAGTAAGGTACGATTACTCGAAATCAGTATTGCTGGCGCCTATCTATATCAACCACAGACTTCTAAATGTCCCCAGACGGATGTACCATATGCTTCACTTGGGAACAAAACTTGAAATGGCAAAATTGCCTCTCATGGTGATAAAATTGTAAGAGGGCTTTATACATGGTTTTCTGCAAATACGGCTTCACTTCTGCGAGGATGAAACAAAGGTTCAAATCATTCATCAAGTGAAGAAAATTTCACACACCCTAAACTGTGTTTAACAGCTTTGGTGGACATTCATTCGTCGGTTCGTCCAGCTAAAGATTAGGGACTGAAGTATCCTGAAATTGTTATCTAATTGACCCTTCCCTTTATGTTGACTCGGTGACTCAATTAGGACGAAAACGATAATGTCCCTGAGGCTTTCGGGATCCGAACGCATCGACAAAACGTCTAGTCATAAGGTAATATGACAGGTTCGTGTCAACCATGGTCTGCTTGATAACCAATGACGATTCAGATAGAACAGTTCTGGTCTGGGGTAATCTGAATAAGTCAGTGGCTAGGTTGAAACAAGGCTTCACACTAATTTAAAGCCTCGCGCAGACCAACCGGTGGGTAAGTGTTCCTAAAAAATGCTGCCTAAAACTCTTTACATTCATGAAAACTCTACGCTCATCCAGTGAGTTCCAGTAAAGACGGAGACGATCGTATGACTGAGGATTTCGGAATGTTGGCTAGGGTCTAGCAAGAGGAGGAAACTGACTCACATAAGCTGAATATTTAATCGCTTTGAGGCGGATATCGAACGACCTTCGACCAAATCGCAGTTATGTGGCGTTTTTTGAGTGAATATACCGCAACTCTGGAAACCCACCACTCAAGCTATCGTACCTTGTAAGTACTACGGCATGCCTGTGTGGAGTTCACCCGAAACTCACAGTGTGCTTCACTTCGTTCTAGGCCCACTACTTATGTAGAATCCCTACCTGTGGATTCGCCTTTCAAAGTGGCTTAGCTGCCGAAACTGTGCGCACAGAATTGATAGAACCAATGACACCTCGCCAAACCGCGTTTGTTCGCATCTGATGCGAATTGATGTACAAGCCGGCAGAAGTCACTTGTTAACGCATAGTCGGTTCTTGTGTAACCGCGCTAGAATCCACACCGGTGAGATACACTCAGATTTCTTTAGAGTTTTAACGTTAAAAGTGCGTTTCTTCAATTTCCGAATGGATGTAAAACTTCCGCTCATGAGCTGTCAGTGTTTCTAGGTCCATCTTGCAGCACATCCTACTGATATTTCAGTTACGGTTTGGTTCACTGTATTGTCAAGTGTTTTCTGCCTCAAGAGCAGCACAGCTATTACGAATGTGATAATTTTGGACAAGCAACCAAACACTTCGAGCAATGGAGGAGACTCATAAATGGGTTGACCAAGGAGAGTGAAATTCTCGAATTTTCTGAACGAAATTAAACCAAAGTTTCTAGCCCATGCCTGGCTACCTAATGTTGATAATTCCAACAGTTTTCAACCGTCATAAGCCTGAGGGATCATTCGTACTCGAAGTGAAGTCAATCTACGCTGAATAGCCTGGAAAAAATCAACAGCAGTTTCATCCTTAGTTGAATTTATCAACAGTGCGGATGTCACGAAAATCAACGGACACTCGAAACCACGAACTCCCGGTCAGCAGCTTGAACTCTTGGCCATTCGGTCACGATTGGCTGATCAGCACTGTGACTAACTGGCCCATCTTTCAAGTATTGACCATCTACTCGATCAACGAATTTCCGGGTGAAATTTTCACTCACTGACTTGTCAGGCACTCGAAGCCGAACGGCTAAACTTCGAAAATACAAACCAGGATGTCGTAGGTTCGAGAGTCCCTGGATTTTCTCGAGTTGCGCGTTTCTAATGATTTCCCAAATCGAGCTTCTTGGTTTTTCAGAATAGAGCGTCATTTCTTTCCATAGAATTCCTAAATCTCCTCCCACTACTGTTTTTGTGAGCCTTCACAGAACCTAAGCAACTAGAGAGCATTTAGTAGTACTTTGTTTATAAAGTGTTATGTTTACAGGGTAGCATTATGATGTAAACTGTTTTCGGGACGGTCAAACTACCTATTCGTAAAAAGACTAATTCTTCTTTGAAATTCTTCTTTGAAATTATGCGAGTTAATGAAAGCCAATTCGACCTGATGAGGCTTCCAAGCTTGAATCAACCTATCTTAGCTGAAATGCTCATGCATTATTCTGAAATTACCGCTTCCTTTCTAGTGTACAAGAGATTTTTTGAGTAAACGACTGCTGACGAACGTTCATCGGTCATTAGCAGAGGAAATTACCTTGATGTTGGTCGTATTTATTAGTCTTGATTGATACGTTAAATAATACATTGTCTACAAAATTTCAGGCGGAACCAATGACAGTCGGTGTAGTGAATGTCAGCTTCGCGGCATAGCACCAACCAAGTGGGAGAAGTGACGGCTCTTTGTTAACAGCTTCCGATAGAAACTCCTTCCAAACTCTCTGTCAATGTGCTGTCATTAGACCGGCATGTCCACTCACCGTAGATTAAAGACAGCCTAACAAGTGTTCTTGTGTAAATTGCTTCAGGTATGAGAAAGCTCAAAATAACTTTTCTGGATTGTGGGGGCTTGTTATGTCAGGAAGTGTTAACAGTGTGGCAGCTTTTTGGACAGCATTCTTCCGTAAAAAACAAATAATAACGCATACTGACAATACTGGGTGAAAAAATGAGAAAAAAGACTGAGTGATATATGATTGAATTTAAGACATGGAAAAAGCAATTAATCCATTGTTTTCAATGCGTCGACAGAAGCCGAAAATGATTTAGACAACTATGGTTTTATCGGTTATACTCGCAAGGCTACCGACTTAATAAAAATGCAAAGAAAACCATTTGTCAAGGTCCTGCATTTGACATTTGGTAGTGTTTGTTATATTTCATAAGATGCCTAGCTTTGAAGGGCTTAGACTCTGAGAATCAACATCAGAATCAGCTTTATGCTTCCAGTGCAGTCTGTTCAGCTCCCTTTTGTTCGCGCCTTGTAATACTCAAACATGGCACTCGTTTCCACACTACGCTGGTTTTTTGTTAATATGTGCAATGCACCCAAAAAGGTAGACCGGGTTGCTGCCACGGCTGACGACTCGAGGGCTTCATCAGCCGCGTTTCTACCAAATTTTTGGAGATAAATCTCGCTGATCCTTAGAAACGATTCGGGTACTCAGGATTATCCGGTTACAGAAGCTGGGCAGGAAAGTTGGTGGACCCGTCACTTTGAAGAAAGTGAGAAGACCGTTATAGCGAATACGGACAGATGATGTGAGGCGTCTTGTGGTCTTCGGCCACCGATGCCTCAAAATCATGTCTGGTTTTAGGTGGCGTCAGCGTGTTAGTAACGAGATGATTAGAAAACTGGTATTTGGTTGTGCGGCAGGTACTTCAATCCGAGAAAATATCTAGCATCATCGACTGCGATGGCTCGGTCATGTGCTACGCATGCCAAAACACCGTCTACTGAGACGAGTGTTGTTCTGTGTGCCTCCAGAATGGCGCAAAACGCGAGCTGGACAGCACATGACTTGGCAGAAAGACGTGAAAAGATCACGAAGAGTTTGGTTTCGTTGGTGTTGTACGCCTTCCAGGATGGCGTCCCCGTGATCCCGTCTGTGCTTAGCTGGGTACGTTGCAAGAACTGGCGGGTAATCTATGTCAGTGGCATTCGTGCTGTCAGTTTCTTTATAGATTGTCTGATTGAGCGGTTGGAGGTGTAAGCACCTCAGAATGCTTGACATAAGCCCGAACTGAGTCGTCTCCCTCGCCCATCCTTTTTGATGATGATGATGATGATGATGATGATGATGATGATGATGATGATGATGATGATAAAGCGAGTACGTTCCATGAAGTCTCACGAACCAATAGCACTGAGAACCACTGGAAGCATTTAGCCGACTCATCACTGGGAAAATGAATTACTTAGACAGCGGGCGGGAGCATTTCGAACAATAGCTGCCCACTTTGATCTAAGCGGTCTCCCGGTCCTTCATGCTGGAGGTTAGATTGTGTGTGGCAACTTGCTCCTTAAAATTGTAGGCTGCTTTGATAGCATTTTGCCAACCGCTGATGCATCGAGGTCAGGTCTTTGAGACAAGGACTTTGGTTGAGAACCACCTTCCAAGTCCTTTTCTTGTCCAGGTCTGGGCGACCTGTCAATATCGATACATACAAAGTGTTTTAAATGTGAAAAATATGAGTAGGCAATCATTCTTGTGGAAAATTTAACCAGAGATTATGCTCTCGACGTTTCCAAATCAAGCAATCAGTCATCTGACCTATATAGTTTTTACTTGAAAAGAGAAACTCAAGTTAATAGAATGCTTCACCTATTTTGGTCACTGTAGTTTTTCAGATTTTGGCGTAGAAACAATACCATTCGAAGAACGTAATTCATATTTGCGCCAAGGGGTAGCACACGATCCCAAATGTCCCGTGTATAATTTTACTGCGTAAATCCGTTAAAATTGGTCTCCGTGGTACAACAAGTTAGAAATACATCTCCAGCTAGACAATGTGAAACGATTCACAATACTATTATCAACAACTGGGCCTTTGGAGGCACAGTACGTATTTCCTACGGTACTGCATCTGCCAGAATTAAGAAGGCGCTTGCGGTTTTGTTTTGCCTCGTAATTTGCAGTTCCACAGTCAGCAAAATCGGCGATCCCTGACTCGATAGATGGAACTAATTACAATGCACCCTGATGCCACCAATACTATTGACTTTTCAAAGCTGGGTACAACTGACTCCGTGGTAATCCAATATTTGTGATGCCATGCTCGTTGCCATTTTCTGTCCAAATGTTTCAAAACGTGTTGAGGAAGGTACCCTGCAATGTTTGCAATGGGTGAGGCCATCCAATCTTCAGTTTTTACTTCCCCTCCGTCGGGACATTTTTACACGAAAAAAAATTCATTACTACTCATTCGGTTGCTGAAAACTCTTCGACAGCCCAAGGACGGTTTTGCTTATTTTGAATCCAAATTGGTCAGATTTCGATAATTACACCCACTTGCATGTCAATTTGGTTTTCATGAGAGAATCACCTGTAATCCAGCTTAAGAATATCATAAACGAGAGATTTAGTTGGGTTCCAGGTGTGTCTCCCCTCAAAACCAACTTTGTAAACAATTGAGTCAGCCTCGCTAATTTCGTGCAGTTTGGGTTCCTAAGGCTGAGGAAGCTCGGAGACTACCCATACCTGATGAACGCCAGGGTGGGGGAAAGCGGTCAAAGTGTTTTCAGCCTCATGAGTAGCGCGCTACGTCTACACAATCTCTCGTGATATACCGAGTATGGTACCAACTGAAACATGAGATGGCTTGGTGTAGCACATTCAGTTTATCATAAACGAGAGACTCAACTAAGTTCCAGGTTACTCTTCCCTCAAAACCCATTTTAACATGAAAATGAGTGCAATTGTCGAAAAAATATTCTGTTTATATGGCCTCACCAATGCTCGACAGTGATGTTACCACCTTTGGTGGTGGGTTGTTTGTAACACAACTGCTCAAGTAAATCTCTCCATCTGATGCTAATATCGAGTGCTGGAAAGTGTGAACGAACTTTCACCGTGTCGTGTCCTGCAAATATAAGAAGACCTTATTGAAAATAAATGGCATATTTGTTACCAGATGTAATAGAAAAGAGTAATTTATGTACATGCTGTCATAGTTGGATAATAATCTACTCTCTTATCCAAAGCTGCTCTGAAGAATCAGTAGACCCCTATCCAGTGGGAAGGGTCGGAAGTTCAGTTGTACTTTTTCATAGTTGTTTCAAGTTGCGAACAACATCCCCAGTGCGAAACGCGCAACAATGATCATCACGATATTTGGGTAGGACTTGCGCCCCCTGGATGGATTCTTGTCCGAGTTGTCATTCCGTCCCACTTGACGTGTCGAAGCAGGTAGAACTTTAGCTTATAGAAAAAGGTAAACAAAAATGAAGCACCGTTTGTGCGTACAACTCAAGAATGTGACTATGTAAATCACAGCAAAATGCCAGGGTAATGCGACAGCGCATATTCGCATTTAGGTGGAATATCCTACTAAAGTAAAGTTTTTTACCAATTAAACATTGCTTATTAGCACTTGAAGGTCCGGAAAAATCAACGCCTAATTATAGGGAAGTCACGTAAGTTACGCAAGTAAGTTACGTAAGTTACGTAAGTTACTCTTGAACCACGCGCTACAATTCATATAAATCTTTCCAAAAGGCAGGTGCTTTCATAAACAAGATGGTCAAGGCAGAATCACAATTTACGATTTTGGTTCCTCAGCACTGGTAAGGAACGGACTCCTTTGTCTACAGAAAAAAATCTGTTTGTTTGTCCAGAACTCCGCCGCCTACCTTCACTTTTAATTCTGAGTAAAGTGCCGAAAGGGAACTTATCAGAAACAATTAAAAGTGAATCCGGTAAGGATGACTTCGAATTGTTTGGCAGAGCTCTTAACAGCGTCACCCAATCATGCACGAGCATGAGCGCTACTCAATTCTGTCCGAGAATTGAATGTGAGCCCAAAGCACACAAACGAGATTCGAGATTCTTACTTTCAATCCGTCCTACTGCTTGCCATTAGCAGGTTTTTGAAGTGGTTTACAAACCACAATGCACGGCACACTCGTTGTCAGGGGGAATTTACATATTTATAAAATTGTAGTATACACCATAGGAATGTATCTGTATACTGGACCGAATCCAGATGTATGTCGTACAACTTTTCCGTCGTGTGGTATAGTGTCTTCTGCAGCTCTCATGCACAAGCTATATTCGAGCAAAATATAGTTGCAAGCATTGAAAAAACGAAAGACGTTATCTCAGTTAGTGCACAGACGCGTCCGCAAAAATCTGTTTTACTTGACTTCATACTGTTTCATGTCTACAAGTTGGCTGTTGATCAGCTGGTCATCCGGTCCATTTGTTTTCAGATAGAACTCATGGCGTGCTTCACCGACAAATAACTCAATGGATAAAAAGTGAACATGTGGGCAAGTTAATCTGCATGATTCGTATGGTTCGTCAGCCACTGTGGCACAAAAATTCAGCTGATTCAGTCGAAATTTTCTTTATCCGTCTGAAGGTTGATTTAGTGGAGTATCAAAAACCACCCTGTGTGGAGATTCCTTATTGTTCCCGACTTCTAATCATGGCACGAGTAACGATATGGAAACAGTAAAACGACAAAGCAACCACTTTTGACGGAAAGAAAGTGTTCCTCTAGACCATGCACACATCCATGAGGATTTACATTGCACTGTTCGTTCGTGACGGAATCTTGTTAGCAAGCATTGCACTATTTGAGTTTCCAAATGTATACGACTTACTGCGACCGAATCTGGTGGAATTTATCCACAGGTTTATTGAGTAACAACATGGAAATAATTGCAGCTAGTGATCTTAAGCTTCAAACAGATGAGTCCTTGAACGTCGTACCTCGCGGAGTCCAACCGATGATGCGATTTTTATCCTCACAAGCCCTGGGTCTAATGGCATCCAAACAGCAGCCAGGTTCCGTAGTTACACTGTACCACGAGTGGATTAACATGTGCTAGAACATGCATGAGATTTATAGTAAAACTACTGGTCTGTGATGTGAAGTTTGTTGGGAGAGTCACTTTAAGTCACCTGACCTCAGGATTGTCTTCAACATTGCTGTGGAGTCTACTGCCCCATTTTAATTCCGATTGTCAACACCAGATGATCAACATGTGCCAACATGATACCACCCAGACTCGTTATTTCATCGTTTCGCTGTAGCGAACTCGATTGGTGGTCCGAATTATTCACGACGCTTGATTTTTCCACCGTGTGGAACTATCTCGCTGGCAGGCAGTCAAGTTCGGCTGCACTGGTTTTAATCGGGTTTTCTGTTGGTATCAAGGCTGTCCGATCAAGGACGGCCACAGAAAACACGCATGAGTGCTCACAGTTACTGCCTCAGACTTGCGTTTGTAAAAGCCACACAGGTTTGAGTGGACACTGAATATCGGATTGCTGCTAAACGAGAAATCTGAGTATTGATGGCCGTAAAGAATAATCTGGCGAACCCGTGACGTGGCACTTCCTGCTAAGCGTATAAGAAATATGCCACTCACGATAAGTTATTCTGGCAATAATTTGCTTCATTTCAACTTAATTTAGTAATAAACGGGTTTGAAGTTATATTTCTAATAAAGAAAACTACTCACAAGATTGTCAAAAACTCTTTTACAGTCCACGATCGGTTTCGCCCTCCTTGGGGCTCATCAGTTAGGAGCAGTCTCCGAGTTAATTGATCTGTCATTGTATTTTCCCAACATAATTTGACGTACGACAAATCAGTATAGTTTTTTAACTACCGCTTACAATTTTTTAGTCACCCAATAGCAACTTGCCTGTCTATGCAGCTTCAATTGAGCGCTAGTGGCCGAATGCTGCCGGTTTTCATATTACGCTTAGTGCAAGATGCATCCCATTGTGTCCAGTACTGGGTTTTGTTGAGTCCTGTTGGAACCTGGTGAAATTGTGAAACTTAACTAATATTTTTACGCGGCATGTATCAGCGGAGCTTTTGAGCTCTGAACCTCCATTTTCAAGGATCATAGCAAGTATGCGCTATTCATAACGGCTTCTTTGTGGTTAGGAGTAAAGGCGCACAAACGTATACAACCCTGATATTCATCCACTCGAAAGCAGCAATTTCAGCAGTGCCTAGATGGTACGTCTCGCCGAGAGCAGTATGGTGCAAAATGAACAACAATGATCTGGACTCAGGTAGAATGCTGTATCTTTATCTGTTTACCTTCATGTTCAATAGAATCTTGTGCATAAACCGATCGGAATTTAAAGTACAGTGATATTAGGCCAAAAGAAGTTACTCAAAACGTATCCATAGTACACTTGCTTGCACCTAAAATCAGACTGACGTTAGAGCAAATGCATTGTCTGATACCATCTTCGTCCATCTTCGTTTCTGGAGGCTCAACCACTAAGACTTTTCAGATCTCGGCCAAACAGTATATGTGAGCATCCGCTCTCCGGTTTACGTATGGATAACTCAATTTCGTCTTAGTAGGTTGGCTGCAAAATTCAAGTTAGCTTTTCACGTTTATTGTTCACCTGGTCAACCTCTACACTTGACTCCTTATCCAGTTTCACTTTCAAGTTTTATGTTGGCTACTCAACAGACTACTGACACTAAAAGTTTTATGTTTTTCATTTACTTCACTAGGCATTTAAGTTGCAATTCATGTAGAGAACGTACAGCTTATCAGATCAGTCGATACTTACATCTCACGTAGACCATCGTCTCCGCTTCCTCTATTATTGTTCGGAGTGGGTGTCCAATCTTGACGCACTTCCACAAGCCGGCGTGTTCCGACAGCAGTGGTTGAAATGTTAATTGACTGTGAATCGTGTGATTCGCGTGGTGTTTTTCGGTAATGCGAACGCGGCGAGAGACGGCAGTTTGTATGGCGGGTTTGAGGTGGCTGTCATTGTAGGTTTGACTTGACTTTGGGTCTCTCAGAATTAGGGCAGTATCGAAAGTTGTCAAAGAAGGACTTATGTAGGTACGGTGCGCCCCAGTACCATGGGACCAAACCAAGTTGGCCGATTTCGAAACACCCCGCACTTCGGTGACGCAAGTTAGAGTGAGAGTTTCTCCGGCAATTCCTTCACTTCGACCTTCAATTCGAATGCCTAGAAACGTAAACAAACAAACAGGTCAGAAACATATGCTAGGTATCTAGCCTCTAAAACAAAGATGACTCAAGGCCTATATGATTAACTTAACGCGGTTGAAATGTCTTGGAATTTTTTGTCAGTACTTTAATAATAAAAGTAATTGTTTAGCCGTAACATCCTTTCGGTGCCTAGCTGCCATGCCACCCGAAGAAAACACGAGGGTTGAGATACTGCCTGGTTGCCCTGAGATACTGCTGGTTGCCCAAACCCGGGAAGGATAGGTCGAGATACCAAAGCCGAGTTCGAACAACGGACTTTCCGGTCAGTGAACTGGCCCTCTAACCACTGAGCCACCTCGTTCCTTTTAATCTTATCTGCTGAGTATTACAGCTGCAAAATACTCGCAATCTCTGAGTTCTGTTGTATACGGGGCAGACTTTGTATCTGCAGAAATTAACTGTTCGACATTCACGATATCATGCTAACTGGTATGTATGAAACAGGGATAAACTGGTTTTATGTAGCTGCAGGCTACTAAAACGTGAGAGATTGCACTATAACTGCAAAATCACAAATTTGTGAACTATTATCAACTGCCGGCCGGTTGAAAAGCGATGTTTTTTAATTGAAATCTCAAGAAGAGCGATCAGGCGTAACGTGATTAAAATTCTATCACATGATGGATATGAGACAATAGTTAGCTCGTCGGCTAGTGGACAAATCGAGTTGGTTTGAGTTCAGGCACACTGAAGTACGACTCACATCATGTGTGCGCTTACCGTATAGCACTAACTGCCACATGACTTACAAAGGAGTTGAGTGTGACTCTGGATTTGACGTGATTGCTCCAAATCTATTGGTACTGCGCAGCGTTTGTGATGTCATGTCATGAGTTCCTCATCGGGATGCTTCTATCATCAAGTGATTAGGAGCGCTTCATCATGCGTTCACTCGAGACTCATAAGGTTTTAATTTTTTGTCAGTGATTTGCTGGTACTTGTTGAATGGCGTGATGGACTCTTTTGACAGGTTCCTTGTCTTAAACTGGGTAAGATTTTACTCTGAAAATTACCGTCGTTTTCTAAAACAAACCAAATTAATGTATGATCTTGGTGTACGTGGCAACAGGCCACTGAGTTCAGTCTGAGTCCAATGAAGTATCACTGAACATGCGAAAAGTGGATAACACGACGGCTGTGTTTACCAGAAATTCCTCAACTGGTCCTGGATATAAGTGGTCTAAAAGCTAAGAGATTCACTCAACAAATGCTTGCACAAACGATCTTCGGTGACGCGGTGAGGCTTCTGTTTAATATGCAGATCACGGATTTCAAGAAGATTAAAGAGGGAATGAAATTACGCCTTGCAATTTAAGCGTGGTTGAGCATTACGTAATGTCGGATTTAGGTTTTCTGAGTGGTCTTTGAACGTCTTCTGATGTTGTATTTTCAGCATACTAGGGTGGCTGTGTAGCCTTCAGCTGTATTGTTGTCAGGTTACACGGCTTGCAAGTAGCGAATTTCATTTATCCATACATCCGTATTGAAAGAGGAATTAGAAGTTCTTCTCTTAAGTTCCGGCCACACATTTTAACATCGTCATCATTGAGGAGACAGTGGGGACAATGGTGCTTCACTACCGCATGTTCATGTCAATTTATTTGAATAAGGCTTTATTATGGACAGAAGGAAAAAACAAGGGATTGAGGAGATCTTCGGCAAGTCTAAAAGGACTTCCGGGTTAGCTACATTTCCAACACTCACCTAGGCAATCTGTATAGAAACAAACAAAATGAACGACGGTGATACCTATTAGGGGTTATGTCGTTGCGTCTCCAGCCAGGAACAGGGACTTAGATCCAAGTCTGGGAGGCGAAAAGTACCAATGGGATCCGGACTTTTCGTATTCCTTCCACTTCTAGGTTTCCGCCACTCCGAATTAGGTACGAGATACGGCACCCGTCTCGGCAGGTGGTGAACTGTTGTACTCAAGTGATGGCCTAGCCACCTTAGATTACAACGCTGTATACTTTCTTTGAGTGACGAATGTGTATGTACACCTGCTCTTCAGAGTTCCTCTGTTTCAAAATCACAGAACTAGCAATATGGAGGTTTCTATAAGCATATAAGATTTTGAGTTGAGAACAAGATTATGTAAGGAGCGGATCGTCTTATTCACGCGAACATAAGGATTGTGAACTCCTGAATACGCGTTTATCACTCGACCCTAATCCGCGACGCCGGTCCGTCGACTTAATTTCGCGCAATTTCTCAATGAATTTTCCAATCGTTTCATAGCTTAGATTTCAGAGCAAACATTTTATAGAATGTTTATTTACCACAGAACTCCTGTTTGCGGCAGAACAACATTTCCTCAAAACTCCTAGATGAAGCATCCACCAACCTGTCTACTTACAGCCTTCGGGTGTTATCTCGGCATGACCGAGCATATACCCAGGAGAGTAGCCATGGGAGCTGGCCTTTTTTCTTAACAAACTGGGAAGAGCACACAAGAAATCCAGTGATGCATCTGCTTTCTCGACATTCTAAACATCTTTCCTTTCTCTTCGTTTTAACATAATGAATAAATCAACGGAGGCGCACGGTAAATAAACACAGTTAGGACTGTCTGATTGAAATAAACCGATGCTGTGGTTCCAATCTACCGGACAATAGGCTGATGAAAATAACTAATTTCAAGTTGTTCGCTGGTCATCAATCACAGCATCCGCTCCATCAAATGTCCGAAAATGCAGGTACAAAGCACACTTGTGTAGGCATAGCGGGATTTGGAAAACTTCGGCTAAGAGATTCAACCTATACCTTGGGTGATATTCCAAGTCCATTGCTAGGTAATTACTGGGTGCTCTCAGAAATCGAAGACTACCTCAACAAAGATCTTCTGACTGTTCACCATTAGTCGGCTGACTGTTTGAACATATCCACAGGCGTTTACACCAATCACCACACTAGAATTTCAGCAGATTTAACATCACCTTAAGATGCTGATAAAATGCTGCAACGCATATAATGAATGCCTAAAAGTTGGAGGCACCAAAGTAAACAGAAAGCAGGAAAAATATGACTAAACTGTTATAGGTAAACATATTCTAGGTGTGATCATTGATATAGCCAGCTGCTGAGTAATCCAGTAGTCATCTCAGCCCACGGATGGACTAAAGAACCTGCTAAAATTTTAGTAAATTGACGCCTCGATTATTCTGCCGAGTTTGCTGATGCCTTTTACATAAACTGTAGTCAGTAAGACAAATAACCCTGGTAAATTATTGGATAAGTAGTGCACCCAAACCAAACAAAATAACTGAGAACATTACTTGCACTTGAAATTTTGGAGAAATGCGACAGCAACATATTTGAGACAAGTGTGTTTGCAACTAAGTCTTGATGGAAAACAAGAGCGCAGGTCTGAAGTTAAAGCATAGTAGCACGTGCATCCGTCTATGACCTGCACCGTGTGGTCTTGCCTTCCTTGTAAAAGTTCCGCGCTTGTGTTTGGTACACACTTGAGTGCACAAGTCTGTTCTGTGCCGGAAATATACAGCCTTTATTGGGAGCTTGTGACTGAGTGGCTTGGTCACAGTTACCGAAGCACGTGATCGACACTACAAGCCACACACACTTTTCTTGTGAGAGCAAATGAATAGGCAAAATTAGCCAACAACACCCAAGTTAGTGAAGAAAGGGAATACTATTTGGGTGCAAACATCCAGCGACTAACTTCTCCATCTGTTTTGCGGAAAGGAATCCATTGTTTATGCAATATTATCAGATCACCTCTTTAGTTACTCTGTAGCTGTTCGAAAGAAAATAGTTACAATGATTTTATGGTCCGAATATTATGTGGTATCGTAGAAGAAGCTAAACTACCAATCTGATGGAAAAAAGTCGAATATGGCAAAGATATTGCGTATCCGTTAGACGACTCAGTTGCATAACATTTAGGTGTAGTTATTCCCCTTATAGTAAAGGGCGTCAGAGCTATCCGGAGAGCTCTCCAAAAGTTTCCGTACACAAAGCGGTGTTCGTCAGGGATGCCCACTCCCTCCATTCCTTTTCAACTTTTTGATCGATGAAATGATGAGACGGACGCTGGAGGATCTCCAAAACCCTGGCGTTCAAATAGCCTGTGAAGAAAACCTTGTCGATCTAGAATATGCAGACGACATCGTTCTCATGTTCGAAGAGGCGGAGAAGGCACAAGTATTCTTGGATGAACTGACCAAAGTCATCCCGTCCTTTGGTATGCACTTTGCAACTACAAAGTGTAAGGTCATGCTTGTGGACGTGCAGTCACTGAACACGCCCCTTACAATCCAGGGAGAGGTACTGGAAGTTGTGGAGCGTTTTACATATCTTGGAAGTTGTATTAGTTCTGATTGTAGTGTGACAGATGAGGTGAATGCACGAGTCTGCAAGGCTCGGGCCGCGTTTGCTAACTTGAGACAACTATGGCGTCAGAATGGTTTATCCCTGAATCTGAAGGGACGTGTGTATCGAGCTACAGTACGGGCTGTGTATGGTGTGAGACTTGGCCTATTCGAGCAGCGGACCTGAGACGTCTTCAGGTGTTCGACAATCGTTGTCTCAGAACCATAGCTCGTGTGGGTTGGTGTCGGCGAATCCGTTATGAGGCAGTTAGAAAGCGCGTTTTCGGTTGTGTAACGGGTACTTCCATTGAAGAATGTGTCCAGCACCAGAAGCTGCGTTGGTTGGGACATGTGTTACGTATGCCGAAC